TGATTATCATAGATATGGTACATATTTGTCATTTAAAATATATAACATGGCCATCGATTGAACTTATTATTATAATATTATATTTTTTTAATAAAAGTATTATAATTTTTTTTTAAATATTTACCAAAAGTTATGATACTAAATCTCTAACGGACTTCATGTGTCTGACCACTCGATCCCGCGCTGCACGCAAATGCACTCCAACAAGTTCTAATTTATATATTACACATTTATGTAAAGTGATTTTTACACCAAATTTTGTATAGAGCAGCAATTGTAAGATATTTACTGGACCCCCATAAACATTTTAAAAAATAGAACTTAAAAATTTATATTCGAAAATGCAAAATATGTGGTTAGGGTTGTAAGTGAACTAATATGATGAGCTACTCTAATTAATACCCATTTAAGTTTGTCCAATTTAGTAATTAAATAAGCTTAATCACTTTTTAAAGATCGGAATGTTAAATGCACTAAATGTGAAGCTTATTTATGTGTGTTTATGAGTTAGTTTATTTGTCTGAATTAGCTTAATACAATTTAATAGCACATATGCGATAGCTGACATATTATTTAGCCCAACCTTGCATAAATACGATTTAATTAATTATTTAGTAGTAATATTATATCAAATAAAATTTATTTATTTATTTTAATCTATGATAAATATTTTCCCCACTCATCCTTGTTTTTTGCGATTTATCACTTGTTACTGCTAAATACAAAGGTACATGTAAAAGCTCTGGTTAAAATTCAGCAGAAGAAAAACAAATTTAAAATAATATAATCAAGCCGGTTTCTACTTATTACAATGCTCTAATTAGGGCTGTCAAACACGGCTTTTTGTTCATGAAGAGCTCGTTTTCAGCTCATTAAGAAGCTCGTGTTTGATTCATTCGCTAAGTTAACGACCCGAACACAAAAATTGATTAGAAAATAAATATATATATTTATCAGTGAAAACAATTAGAAGCTTTTATATTATTTAGACGACACAAACTTTAACTTTTAAGAAAATTGATTAGAATTTTCATTCACGACACAATAATCATATCACATAATCTTTTCATAATCTTTTCATTAGGATTTCTAAAGTTTTCAAGATCCATTGGTGTTAGATGTAACTAATTATGAGTGTAAGTATCTATGAATGTCATAGTGATATTTGAAACTTTTAATAGTAAGTATCTATAAATGTTCAATAATTAAAAAGACACTAAATCAATACAAATAAGATTAAGTTCATCTTTATTTCTAAAAATTACAAGTACATGAGAGCATATAAGATTACATTAAGAGATAATGCTTCATAATGCTTATGGTTCAATCAAATAGAAGAAATCGCCTGGTTTCTTATAAGAGGTGTAGTGGGGTTTACTACATGCTCATATTAAATGCTATATTCCACTCTAAATACTTGAAGATTGGATTTTTTGGCAATGAAATATGTGGCTCTTAATATGAGTATGTAGTGGGGTTTACTACATACTCATAATCGTTAAATTTCACGTATATTTTTATTGATGTACTAATTTTAAATAAACATTTTTTAAAATTTTAAATAACTATTCTTAAATTCTTTATTGCCTTATTTGGGCTAAGATTAATTGGAAGTACAATCATGACCACTAAATTATTCGCTGTGATTGTTTATTCCTTATAGAGGCAATTAGAGTCTGTTTGAGGCAGCTGTAGATTATTAATAATCTGCTGATAAGCAGATTATCATGTTAATCTGATAATATGCAGATTATCATGATAATCTGATAATCTACAGATTATTAGGATAAGATGTCTTGTTGTTTGGGGGAGTTTATGCAGAACAACTTATTGATAGCTGTTGCTGGATAAGTGATCATTCTACCCCTGTTTAGTGAAGATGTTTGCAGTGAAACTGTATGATCAAAATAATAGATAAAACAGAAGCCATAAGACGAAACAAAAGCTTGATCACTGAATAAGTGGTCTGAATGACCCGAGATGACGAAATAGACTACACAAATGAGTCCGGAACGTCGATTTTAGTCAAGAAAGACATTCACTTCGCTATGAGGATGTGTACAGGCTAAAAATGTGCGGATTGATGATTAATTGACTAATAATTGTTGTTATATTTATTACTTTAATAATAATATTATTATTATCATCCTTATAAAATCATCGCATACTCTCTCTCCCCTATCTATCGCACGCAAGACAGCCGCCACCCTCGTTTTCACGAAAACCCTCCCCTAGCCGACTCCGGGATTTTGCTCCAAGCTGCCGGCCGGCGGTCCTCGCCGGCGCCCACCCGGTTGCCGCCACCTCTCCTCGCGTTGATAAGCCCTTCCCTCATCTCTCGCAATCCCTCTCGGCTTGAAAACTTGCCCAAGTCGTCGCCTCTTCCCCTCTTCGACGCGACTTTGCTGAACGGAGACGGGATCGAGGGCTCATAACTAATAAGTTGTGATTGAATGCGGAACGCGGGGTATAGGGAACGGTCGTAAATCATTCAGGTTATAACGTAAAACCATGTGCGTGCTCACGACCTCCAGCCCCAACACACTAATCTAATGGCTCCGCGATGTTATGAAAACGCTGAACGTTGGGATAAGCTGCGTCAAACGAGCCTTAGTTTACCACCACATTACTCCATTTAGGGTTTTTTTAAGGTGGAAGCTGCTTTTTAAAAAATTTGATTGTAATGTTGTGGTGGAGAAATCAAGGGTGTGTTTGGGGTTATGGTGTGGTGCCGCGCCACTCTTTTTTCTATTTGAAAAAATTACATTTTGTTTGTTTTTTAAAGAAATTGTAATTGAAAGTTGTGTTTGCAATCAGACATGACTAAGATCTATTCGGGCCAGCTTTCCGACTGTTTTGTTTTTCGGATTGCCACCACAGTTCTGTTTTGAGAACTAGTTTCTCATTTTTTTTAGAAATTTTTATGATAGAAAACTATTTTTTCAGCTTGAGTTATTAAAATGTGGTAACTCCTAGAATATTGTTGTCTGACTTTGTAAAAATATAATAAATTTATAATAACAATCATAATTTTTCTACAGCTGTTTCACAACTATTTCTCGAACACCTAAAATTGTCGCAAATAGACCCTAAGTGTAGTGGTTACGAGAAAGTTTTATTATGACTTTTTGAGAAATTTTTTTAATATCTACCGCAGGTTTTTGAACAAGAGCTTCTACAATCGATTCACAACTTTTTTTTCAAATAGTTGCAGTTGCCTCAAACAGATCCCAATTTTTTCGAAAATTGTGGTCCAATTATAATTTTTTTTTCTAAAAAAAATAAAACAACAGTTTTTTAACATCCACAACACTTTTACAAATCATGTGGAAAAATATAGCTTCTCACTACAGAACTTTCTAAAAAACTATAGGAAAGTAGTTCCCCGAACATGATTATGGTGCTGGTCTGAAACGCAAAGCAATAAAAAAACTGTCCCAAACAGATCCTTAATAGGGTGCATCCACATGATTCAATGAAATACATTAAAATAACTGGCTGTTTGATTTGTGCGTTTGAAAAACGGCTAATTCTAGATAAATGATCATTCTGCCCCTAATCTGAATAAGCTTATATACTTTTATGTGTAGTATAAAAATAACTTAATGAAAGAATAATGATCTATTAAATTGCTATGAAAAGCTACCAGTAAACATATCAATGACCAACATATAAATTTTTATGTAGAGTTATTAAATTAATGTATCCATGAAAAACTACAACTCAAGCATAAAACTTGGGGGAAAAAAACTTTTAGCTACAAAGACAAGGATGCCAAGTTAACTAAACACAGAGATAAACCTTAGCTGCAAGTGATATCTCATAAGTGTGACACCAGCCATTTGAAAATTAAAATCACAAAAGAAATACGAGATCACTTTGAAAGAATATCATATCTAATTGAAAGAGATCAACTCTCGGTAGGAAAAAGATAAACTTCACAACACAAGCATAGATGGGTTATAATCCTGGTAGAAGATTTGAAAAAAAAAAAAAAGGAATGCTAGACCAAAGCATGTGAAAAGTCTCGGTATCCGTTAGTTGGAGAACTGTTGGTTTTCTTGTGATTGATCACCAAGGAGTAGTGCAACGAAAGCAAACAGCACACCAAAAGGACAATACATTCAATATTGAAAAGAAACTAATTGAATGGATCCAGGATAACGCAGGAGACGACGAGGATGGCCGGTTCAGATCATCTCAGAGCTTTTATCTACTGTCTCAGTACCCTCTCCCCCACTTCGTCGAGAAGAAGCGAAGTTTGCCATGTCTTGAGATCGAGGTAGGGCGCCTCAAACGACGAGGGAGGAGACGGGGAGAAGAAGAGCACGGGAGGAAAAATCACCTGGACGCGAAATGAAGACGCTGGATGCGGGGTCGATCCCTCGTCCGCGTGATACCAAAATGCCGTTTCTGGATAAACCCTCCGAACGCCTGAATCTAGCATTTTCAAAACGTCGCCCGTACCAATAAGTACCCAAGACACCCTAAATCATTATGTGTGTGCTTGTGAGAGAAAGAGTGCATGTGCATGTGCATGCATGTATGTGTATATGTGTGTGAGAGAGAAATTTATTAGTAGTTAATGAGATAAATTTGCTCAAACACAATCATGCTTTTTTTAGTCCATCTCCATCTTATTTATGAGATTCATAACTCTTTTTTTTAATTCACCAAATTTTATCTATTTAAGAAGCCTCCATTTAGTTGTACACAAGTTGCACCGTTAAAGATATTTAAATTAAAATCTAAAATAAATGAAATAAAATATGTATTTAAGAAATGTGATTTTATATTTAGGGTTTGTTTGGGATATCTTATAAGTGTAGGAGAATTTTTGAAATTGTCGTAGTATTATTTGGATCTCGCATTTTGTCCATTTATCTAAAAATATAATTTTATTTTTATTCTAATCGTAGGGCCCAAGTCGAATCCACCCACGTGCAGGTCACATTTTAAGATAAACTATGGCCCGAAGTGAAATGAAAAATAAGGGCAAAGGAAGGTTACATTCACCGGCCATGTGGCCCGATTACAAAACGCCGAGCCCCAGCTACGCTTTCAAAAATTAGGGTTTCTCTGACACGCATTCTGTTCCTCCCGCTTCCCTAACTCGTTCGAAAACATTCAAAGCCTTCTCTGTCACATTTCAATTTTAGCTACCCTTCATTTCCGATCGATCGCCAGTCAAGAGGAGAAGTCCAGAGCAGAGAACTAAGCCCCCGATTGCCTCCTTTTCCTGCTTTTCCTTGGTTTGAGGAAGTCGCAATCCGATAATCTGACCATTGGGTGGTTCTGCGACTGAGGTATTTCTTTCTGAAAGTTGATCCGTTGTTTTGTTGCGATTGTGTAGATCATATGTGAAATGGTTGGGGCTTCATTTGCTTTTGCTGGAGACATTTCTCTGTATCTATTTTTTGGTTTATTTAGGGTTCTTAGGGTTATCCTTATGTCTCGATTTGATTTTATGTGTATGTCTGAATACATGTGGTCATTGGCTTATTTAGCTTATTTTTTGCTGTATTTCCGCTTCAGCCACGATTTTCTGGTGTTTCAGCTCTAAACATTTCTCTGTATCTTATTTTTGCTTGTGTTTCAGCTCTAAATAGTTTGTGCTTGGATTTCTGGTTCCCACTTTTCATAGTTCGTTAAATGCTTCTACAATCAGCTATTGCCTTCTCTGCTCTATTGATTTGGATTTGCTTTGAAAAAAGCACGTTTGAGCGTTGCATTTTTTTGTGACAATGCGTATTTTGTAGTTATTGTTTTTTTAAGAATTTCCTAACAGTGATAGGGAGCGTACATTCTTATTTTCTAAGTAGTTTTAGAAGGAAATAGTACCCAGAACACTCAGGCGAATGCTTGTCTTGAATTTCATTCCAAACTTTTATTTTATATCAACATTTAAGATTCATATTTATGATTTGTTTTTTTAAATAAAATAAATCAATACATCAATAATTTATATTGTATTTATGAATCATTTTAAATTGATGAGTTTTTTAATTTATTTTATGGCTTATGTCTCAATCCATGCAAAACACCTTAGTTCTTAGTTTTGTTTTGTTAATTGTTGGTTTCTATTTTGTTACTTTATATTAAGCTAGTTCAACATGTTTGGAGGTTATGTGTGTAGATTAAGGGTGCACATGATCTTTCCACTCATAGAGAAGGACTGCCAAGAAAGAGTGAGGAGGAACATACAATATTTTTTGGGATAATGTTGATTTTGTTGATCTTATAACCCTTGTAGGTTTTGTCCATGAAGTGGAAAAAAACTCTACATCAATTTTCATAATTGGATTGAATTAATTGGCTTACATTTACTTTAAAAATTGAGACCAAATGTCTATGCGTGAAACATGATGCCAAAAAAAATGATATATGCCGTGACCAAATGAGAAATTATGGTTTAATACTTGATAAGAACTAGAAGAAGCTTTTGTAACTTAAGGTAACTATGAAAATTAGCTAAGGAAAACTAAGATTCAACTCATTCGGAGGCATCTTTCATGAGGGTTTTTTGAGCCATCTATTGGCCCTTGTGCAAAAAAAAAAAGAATCTTTACCGGTAAACATGTGAAGATTAAATGACATTTTTTGTCTATTCCCTCAATTTCGGAAAGGCCCTAAGGAATTCACAACATTGGACCCTTAGATTCTTATGAAAGGATCTAATGTAAATTGAGTAGATAGATTTCGGTTAAGCGCCAAGTTGAAGTGTTTATTTCCTACAAGATGGTTCTTGATGCTTGATTTGGGTTTTTGCTGGGTGAAATGACATCAATTGAATGCTAGTTAAACGTTGCCATTACATGACCAAAGTTGGGGTTGCCACTAGGTGCAAAGTTTTCAATTAAAAATCATTGAGAAGCTTTAATAGGGGTTAAGATTATTGCAATCAATGAAATCTCAGAAGAAAGGGATATTTATTGGGAGAGTTGTAGAGGAATTGCTAAGAAAGGAGACTCAATAGAAGAAGGCATTGAAAAGTCGACACAGGGCGGCGGGTGCTAAGGAAGAATTTTGGGATAAGGTTGTTGTTCATAAATGTTTAAACTGAAAACTATGGCCGAAAGACACACAAATAAGATGTTTTATGTGAATTTTTTTTTCTTTTTTTTTGGTGGGGTGAGGTTTTCGATGGTTGTTGACTCAACGGGTCAATATAATACCAATTAATTGGAAATAAGTTGGTTGAGGCAGGATCCTAGGCTATTAGTGCTAAGTGAATGAAGGTTACTAGGTTTGTGTTATGTTTAAAATTGTTCAATTGGGTAATAAGATTCTTTTTTTTTGGAGGTGATGCAGAAGCCTCCAGGCAGTTTGAAGCACGAGCCGTATAGTTTGAAAATTGTGTAAGTTGGAATAAATAGGTAAAAAATAATATACTAGCATCATAAATTGTTGACCTATTAAAGAAAGACATATCAACATTTTAATTCAGTAAAAAGTGATAAATTGTGTTTATATGAAATAAGGAATTATGTAAGTTACAAATTATCATGTAACAATTTCAACAAAACAAAAATATATTGTAAATATCAACAGATTAAAGGCACCAAACTAACATAAAAATGAGCTGAATGTAATAAAATATCAAAGTTATATGATGAGTTTAGCATAGAAGACTTCTCTCACTCCTATCAGTCAACTAACATAATAAGAGTATAATAAATAATCAAAAGCTAGCACAGTAGAAAGCTGTAGCAGCAGGAGTAGTTGGCAACGGTGATAACAACATGAGAAGCAAGAGACAACGACCGTGCAAGGGCAATGTGTAGCTATAGAATACAAAGATGGCGGCTGTTGTAGCTGAAGAAGTAGTGATGGCATAGACTGTTTTAACGATAGAAGCAACGAATGACATTGACGGAGCCGACTGCAAACGTAACAGACATTGACACTGATTGGGAAGAGGGGAGCTCTTATGCATGAGATTGCAACTTTTTTTCGTATTCAAATCATCTAATATAAGGAGAAAAAACTTCAAGTGGAATCAAGGTGAGGTATGACTTGAGGTGGGCCTAAACTAATGTGAGGCGTACACACCCAAGCTGTTCGATGCATACGCCTCGCTCAAGCTGCTCGAGGCATTTGCCTCGAAGCACTTTTCTTCGGAATTACATGAAGGAATGCCTTAAGACGTGCCTTATTACATAATTTTAAACAGTGGATTCATGGGAATCCTACTGAAAGTTTGGATCACTTTAGTTTTCATGGCCAAATGACATGGAAATGAGATGTTAGTTTGAAGATCGTAGGTTGATGTTGCTAAATTGGCTCCAAATTTGGAGTTATGCTTTGAATGTGTTGATGGCTTTTAACCTAATGACTCATGACAATGCTAGCTATGCATTGGTTGGCTTCTCTAAAGGTTTTAACAAGTTGGACCTAGCAGGAACCTAAGCCAAGGGTGAGCAATTCATTAAAGTCTAATAGGTTCCAAGTGATCTTAATGAGGGTTTTGGGCACCTAATAGTCGGGGAGCTAAATCGAATTCGCATGTAAGGTTTGTGTTAGAAAGTTCCGACTGACCCGACTGAAACCTGACCTGAAGATTGAAATTGACATGAACTTGACTTGCATAGTCCATTTAGCTTTAAACATAATTGTTATTCAGGTCAAAATTGGGTTGGTTGGTTTAATTGAACCCAACCTGAAAATTAATTGTGTTAAGTTCTTTACCTCAACCCGACCTAAAAATTAATTGAGTCAATCCGAAATTCAATTTTGTTGAGTTGGGTCTTGGTACTTGGGTTGGGTACATGCATCGAGTTTAATTTTGACAACCCTATTTGACACAAGCTTATTGAGTTAGAATTTTTGAGAGATTTTTGCTTTGCCTCTTAGCAAATTTCAGAATTGGAGAGTAGGTATATACTCTGCGGAGTTAAGGAAATACAGAAAGTGGGAGGATTCAAGAAACTAATGAAACTAATATTAGGATAGGATCTTGGAATATAGGCACTCTCAATGGTAAATTAATGGAATTAGTTGATATTATGATTCATAGGAAAATTAATATCTTATGTATTCAAGAAACTAAGTGGGTGGGAGAAAAGGCTAAGGAGATTGATAATTTAGGTTTTAAACTTTGGTATTCTGGTAAGAGTCGCACTAGAAATGGTGTAGGTGTAATTATAGATAAGAGTTTGAAAGATAATGTTGTAAAAATTAATAGAGTTGGTGATAGAATTATAGCCCTTAAGATTATCATTGATACTAAGATTTTTAATATTATAAGTGTTTATGCTCCTAAGTAGGTTTAGATACAGAGTCTAAAGATAAATTTTGGAATGACTTAGAAGACTTAATACAAATGATACCTCTTGAAGAAAGAATTTTTATTGGAGGAGATTTAAATGGACATGTCGGTAGAGTGGTAGAAGATTTCAGAAATATTCATGGTGGCTACGGTTTTGGAGTAACTAATGAAGAAGGTAAAGTTATTTTAGATTTTGCTTTAGCGTTTGATTTTGTTATTACTAATACTTTATTCAAGAAAAGGGATGAACATCTTATTACTTATAAGAGTGGATCTAATAAAACACAAATTGATTATTTTCTTATGAGAAGAAGAGATCGTCATGATTGTAAAGATTGTAAAGTCATTCCAAGTGAAAATTTAAATACCCAACATCGTTTATTAGTTTTAGATTTTAAGATTAAGAGTTGTAAAATAAAAAATACTAGGACTCATCATTGCAGAATTAGATGGAGAAACTTAAAAGATACAAATAAAATTAATTTTATGAGTAAAATTCAAGATTTCAAAATTTGGGATATTCATGAAGAAGCAAATGTGATGTGGGATAAAGTAACAAACGCTATTAAACATGTAGCAAAAGATGTTCTTGGAGAATCAAAGGGAAAAATATTTACAAATAAAAATAGTTGGTGGTGGAATAATAATGTGCAAGAAAAGATAAAATATAAGAAGTTATGTTATAAAAATTGGTTAAAATGTAAAAGCTTAGA